AACCACCAATTTTGTTTCTCACCACAAGCTGATAGCAGTATATCTCAAAGGCAATGGTTTGATTTTGAGCTGGAGAACAGATGAAGGGAAAATGCCGGGGAGGCCCAGGGTGGCTAATATTTCAAACCCGAGGTAAGCTAACGTAATCACGGAGTAACACTATTCTTGGAAGGCCTGAAGCCATGTGACCTGGATGAAAGACCACGCAACAGGGAGTCAGGAGACTTGACTTCTCCTCCTGGGGTATTTATTCATTCATTACAAATTTATTGTGAGTCAACAAGATTCTACACCCTGTGTTGAATTCTGGAAAACTTAAAATAATTACAATAAAATAATAAAAGAGTATACAACTTAATAATGTCAATAACAACATGTTGAGTGATTCATTTGTGTTAAGTACTATCTTAAGTAGTTCATATTTATTGGTTACTTTAAACATTAGAACGATTTATTGAGATAGATAGTGCTTTTAATGCCCATTTTTCAGATGTGGAAATTGAGGTGAAGAAATAACAAAGACAGATTATTTCTGCTTTACTAGAGCTTATATCTTAATAGTCATGCCTCCAATTAACAGAATGACTTTTGATGACCTTTGGTCTGTCTCCTGTTCTATTGCCATCCAATAGTAGCTAAATGTGTTAAGAATGTGCTCTGAGCCAGACATAGCATCTTACATTATCCTCACAATAACCTTATGAGGTAATTAGTATTATCACTCCCATTTTACAGATGAAGAAACCAAGGTTCAGAGAGGCTAAGTCCTTTTCCCCAGATACCACATCGCAGACTCAAACTCAAGCAGTCTGACTCCAGATTAAAACATAACACAACTGAAAATAGGAGAGTAAACCAAATCTTTGCCATTACATCTTGCTAGACTGTTCCATTACATTCCTATACATTTCCCATATCTCATAGAGTTAATGACACAGATACATTTATATCTGAACCAGTTATGTGTGCTAACAGACTACAAGGGGCAGGTGAAGAAAAACCCACGACCTGAGTACAAGTTGTGACAGAGAAATATTCCATCTGATGTCCATGGGCAACAGAGAGCCAATGCAAGCTCTCCTGTCTGTGGATGTCGGGCAGACAGACTGTGCCCCCACGTGGACCCAGACCCCGCACTGCGTGGGGTGTTCCGCCAGCTTGGACACCTCAAGGACTAAGGCATAATCGAGTCTGCAAGTCCAGGGGCTCGTTTCAGCACAGACCCGGAATATAGCCTTTCCTGATCGGGTTGAACAGGAAAGGATTTAAACCGAGGTCCTGAACTGAAAGAAGAACACATTCATTGTGCTCATCACTGGAGTCAGAAACAAATGCATCTTTCCTGTAAGGAGTGTTATCCAGCAGGAAAGCGAGTCCACGGGTGAGGGAGGTGGGCAGGTGCCTGAGAGGAAGTGACAGGGGCCCCTGCAGACACCAGAGTCACTGAGTCTCCACACTCTATAGAACTTGATACAAAAAAATAAGTCTCCATAAACCATGGGCCACTCTTGGGCTGATATAATGGGCGACCCCAAACGGAATGGATTCTCCAGAATTTGAGGGCTTCATCTTGTCCACAGTCAAAATGATCCATTTATTCACTCAAAAAATATTTAATGAATGCCCACAAAGCTCCAGGCCTAAGGAATTTAGCAGTAAACCAAATAAAAATCGACCCTGCCTTTCTCAAGATTGTTTCTAGATACAGAAAATAATTAAAGAGCCGGATAACTGTAGATAAACCAAGAGTTAAACAAGACAATTTGAAGTGATGATAAATGTTATAAAGGGCACATATAGGATGACCTGATGGAGAAAGGCCAGAGATGGGACCACCTTAGCACAACGGTCAGGGAAGCTCTCTATTCTGAGGTGACATTAGACCTGAAGGATGAGACAGAATCTATGCAATGAGCAGAGCAAGAAAGGCTAGGAAGAGGGAAGAGGCCTCTTGGGGACCTAAGAGGTGGCCGCCATGGCCAGGGAGTAATGGGAGAGGCATGAGATGTGGGAGAAGCAGTTGGAGCAGAATGGGACCACACAGGGTTGTGCGCATTATGCCAAGGAGGCAGGTTTTACTCCAAGACCAAGAGAAGCTTTTTAAGAAAGGAATGATTTGATTTGCTTTAGAAAAAGATCACTTTGCTACAGTGTGGAGAGTGAGTCACAAGGATCTAGAATGGTGGCAGGGAGACCCAACAGATGATTGCAGTCGTCCAAGTAGGAGATGTTGGTGACTTGGATTAGGTGGGGGAAGGAGAGCTGGAAAAAAGGGGTTGGATGTCAGAGCTATTCTGTTGGTGGAACTGATAGGCCTTTCTAATAAATTAGGTGTGGGGACTGAGCCTCATGGCACACCTGTGCCCTTATATCGTGATTTCTCTGTCTTTGAAGTTCTCCTTCATGAATTCTGTTCAGCTTCATACACTCGAGATATCCCCAGGGGTGAAACTCAATTAACCAGTCTGAGTGTCTCCTGTTCTTCTCTCATGCTGATGACCATGACCACAGGAGGGAGGAGAGAGAGCCAAGGGCCTGGCTGACGCACCACCTGGCCCCGCAGCCTCCCGGCATAATCAGCTTTGGGGGTGGGGGGGCTTTGACGAGAGAATAGCACCTGGAGAAAGCCAATGATGCAAAGTGTTGGGCACAGAACATTGGAAATGGCCTTACCAGCCATTTCAGATCTATCCCTTCAAAGAGGAACGAGCAATAAAATCAGGATGAGCGTGTGTGTGTGTGTGTGTGTGCGCGCGCGCGCGCATGTGCACGCGTGTACCTAAGCTGGGTTGAAGTTGAGGAAAAAATGGAAGGCAGAAGCAGGATTGCTTTGTCTTGGATAAAAAGGGTATTCCTTAGCTGCCTGGATTAACAGAAAGTAAAATGACTGTATCTGAATCCTGATGTCTCTGAACTTGTCAGAACTTGTCTCTGATTTGCGACACAAATGGGAGGGGGTGGTAAAAATGTAACCGAAACATGATTCTGTAACGCAGGCTCACTCCCTCCAATAGCACGGTCCCCTCTCCCTGCAGGCCCCTCCTGCTGACCCCGGCATGGCCTGCGCCTCACAGAGGCCAGGTCTGGGCCAGGGGGACCATGGAAATGCTGTCCCTCCGTGCCCTCGTCAAAGCCAATTAGCCGCAAAGAGAGGGAGATGTAGGTCCTTGAATATTTTTTCTTTAAAACAAAATATACAAACTGGCTTGAGTGATCTGCCTTGAACCAGCAGAGGAAATGAAGGCGATTCCTGGATGGGAGGGGGAGCTGGACCGCTGAAGGGGGAACGGAAAGGCCTGTTTTGCTTGGCCTGTGTTGAAGGGAGAAAGCCAGCAAGGGCTCCGCCGACCACTGACAAAGGGGCTCCCTCCCCAGCGACACTTACTACCTCCAGGTTTTCACCAGTTACTTAACCCCGTGGGTCTTCCTTGCTTTGTAAATAAAAGGCAAAGGGGAAGACACATGATAAAACCTTAACTGCCTAGAGACAGGGAGTGAACCAAATGATCACTTGAGGTCACTTCTAGGTCTGAGGTTCATGACTCCGCACAGGAAGCAAAGAATGTACTTCCGTGTCCTGGCTGAGTCACCTTGGACAAATTAGTGGTTTTCTTTGTGCCTCGATTTCTTCCTTTGTAAAGTACAGATCATAATAGGGTTGCTGTAAGGACGGAATGAGTTAATACAAGTAAATAGCTTAGAACGGTGCCAGGCACAGGGTTATTGCTCCATAAATATTAGATGTGTTTTCTCTGAAAAGCATCTTCTGTTGCAATCACCCCATGATTTGAGCTCCAAAGAATTCAACACAAGGATTGTTATGCTCCTGGGATGGTGTGCCGTCATTCTGTCTGGTCTCCTGCGTCCATGGAAGCTTTAGCTAAACTATCCCAGAGAGATGGGACTTGGTGCCACTCAATAAAATTTGGAGAAGCACCCTGAGGTGTCCAGTTTCCATGGCTACCATCACAGCTGGTGGGCTTGCCTGTGATCAGAACATCCCCTCTGCCTAGGAAAACTTGTGGGTACCACAGCTACTGTACAGGAGGCCAGCCTAAAAAAAAAAAAAAAAAAATCAGGCATTTGGATCATAGATCACAGTGAGGGACTATTTTCAAACATCAGAAAGTAACCTCAAGAGCCAGCTCAAGCTCCCAACCCCTGATCAATGTTCCAGGGACTCGTGAAGCAGAATAATCTCTTCCCAAATTTGTTTTACTTAGTAAGGTCAAAGATTCATTAATTAACCATTAGTCTCATTAAGAAGAAGAGACACGATTTCCCAAAGCACTAGGGATCCACGGTTCTCCGAGCCAGAAGCAGAGGCTGGAAGACAGCATCAACTTCGTGACTGGGCTTGGGGAGCCAGGGAGCACTCGGGAGTCTCCCCTTCCTTGATACATTGTTGACAGTTCCTCCAAAGTATGAATAATATATGCCAGGAGAGTGAGTCCATTCTCCAGCCAACACAGAGACCTTCAGGAGCAACCGCCGTCTTCATCATTCCCGGACATCAAAGACACAGCATTACAAATGCCTCTCCTTTTCTGTTGTGGTTTTAAAATCAGAATGTATTTACTTGTTCTTTTTTTAATTTAAATTTCAGTTTTCACTTACAGTTGACATAGTATTTTGTATTAGTTTCAGGTGTGCAGCTTCGTGGTTAGACAATTACACACTCGTAAAGGCATTAAGAAGCACAAATTGGTACGTACAAAACAGTCCCAGGATGTAAAGCACAGCGGAGGGAATGTAGTCAATAATATTGTAATAACTATGTACAGTGCCAAGTGGGTACTGGGAATATCGGTGGGGGGGGGGGAGGGACATTTTGCAAATGCCTTTCCTCATTTAATGAAGGGGAAACTGAGACCCACAGAAGTAGAACTTGTCCAAGAAGGAAAAGCAATAGAAAGACTAGAAATTCAACTCTGTTGTTGAACTCCCAGCTACTCAGGCAGCCTCTTACTGGATATTTTACTTATGTGTTTATTTCTTTTTCCAGGGGAGCAAACACAGGGCCTTCCTACCACACACGGTGCAGTCTAGTTTCCCACATTTGGGGACATCTCAGGGGTGCGCACATCTGGGGCGCGATGGCGGAGCCTCACCCTGGGAACGCACCGTCAGGATCACGGTGCCTCCCCCGCCAGGTAAGTATTACCTGATAGCTGAAGCAAAGAGAAGAAAGATATCCTCCCATAGAATCTTTTACTAATACTCCCCTTACTTGACCAAAAGGAGAGACAATATTTTGGAAATGATTTTTTTAAAAACGCTAACTGATCTCACTGCCTCTGGCACCTTCCCCTAAAGTACAATTTTCTAAAAACTTACATCTGCTTCTGTCATTCTCCTGGTTAAATTCTTAAATGACTCCCATTGGCTTGAGGATGAAATCCAAAGGGCTGGTAATAAGGCCATTTTTTAACTGGCTCCTGCCTCCCTCCAGCTTCACCCCCTCCTGGCCCCCAACACACACTCTCCATCCCGGCCACCAGAAGCGTCCACTGGCCCCAGTGGCCAGTCTAGCTCTGTCCTCTGTCCTCCGAGGTGCTGAGCACACAGCACTCTGCCCGCCCAACCCTTTCACCTTTCTAACTTCATCCCTCCGACGCCAGATACCCTTCCTCCAGGATGTCTTCCCCACCTTCAGCCTCAATGAGGTCCCCTGTCCCTTTTCTCACAAGACACTGAGGAGACCCCTCAGCCAAGAGGTTTCACCACCTTTAAGGTATCCCTCTGCCAACCTGCCTGTGAGCTTCCCCTAGGACAGAGGCTGGTCATAGTCATGTCCATAGCCCCAGCCCAAGGACAGCGCCTGGCACATGGTAGGTGTCTAATAGATAGTTAAGAGTAGGTACATAGTCAACGAGTGCCCCTGTCTCATCTAAAGTAGGCCCCTTTCCTTTAGTGATTTTATAGATAACTATTTGCATGGATATTTAATTACAACCCAGAAAAAACAGGGAAGCAGAATCAATTGTTAATTACTCTGAAAATGATTACCACCTGCTTTGTCAGAGAACTAGCATGGCATCAATAACCCAAATCAACGGACGATCCAGAATTCATTTCTAGACAGTTTGTGGTGCATGACATTGTGGAGAGAGAGAGAGAGAGAGAGAGTGAGAGAGAGAGAGAGAGAGAGAGTTACAACTCGTGAAGGGGCAGGTGCAATTGTGTGTGAAGTTTACTTTTACAATTTGACCTTTGTTTTTGCTGATCATGTATACGTTCCCTGAGAGCATACTCACTAACAAGGAGCGTGAAGGAGAGAAAATGGCAAGAAGTTGAAGAAAGGGAGCCTGCAGCACAGTGACTGCTCAAAGACGTGGCAAAGTCCACCACACGGATACCCGCAAAGCCCCAGCAAGTCAGCAATAAGCTATCAATGTCCATGACCCCTTTATCATTAAATCCCTTAAAGTTGTTGCATGCTAGACTTTACAAAGCACGTTTACAGGAAAGCACTCATTTGTTCCTGACAGCATTCTGAAAGGTATGAAGAATATTTCATCTCATCTTGTTTTATCTTTAAATAACATAATAAGCAGTCATGTACCCACAGACAACACCAAAATTAGCTCCTTGACAAAAACACGTAGCTGTCAGTGCCCTAGTCAACTCCCTTCCCATCTGCTCCCCTATCCCACACCCCATAATAGCATGCCAAAGAAAACCCTGGGCTTTTCTTTATAGGTATTTATAAAAAGCACATTCTTTATTTTAGTTTTTTTAAACTTTATGAAATGGGCATCATGCCACAGAAAATCTCTGTACCTTACTTTTCTTAGGTTTAATATTATATTGCCAAGTTTCATCCACATTGTTGCATGCAGCCTGGTTTATTCCTTTTGCCTGCTACATAATACTCCATTGTGTGACTGACTAGCCACAGTTCCCTCACCCCCTTCCCCCTCGATGGGTCATTGAGCTGTTTACGTTTTTGCTACTGAGCAGCGCGGCTGTGAATATTCTTATGCATATGTCCTGGTACACATGTGCAGGAGTGTGCCTTGAGTATTCACGTAGCAGGGTTTATTGCAAGGTAATAGAGAAAGAGGATGTTTAACATTAAAGAATAACATCAAACTGTTTCATACAATGGTTGCACCAAGTAACATGATCACCAGCAGAGTATAGGAGTACCCATCAGTCTGTATCCTCTTCATCAATAAGGTTGAGCCAAAGGACTAAGAATAATAAAACATGAACCTCAAACTTGCATCCTTTGAGCCAAATCAGGCTATTTTTCTCACAAAGTATTTTACTGGTTTATTTTATCTATCTATCTATTATCTATCTATCTATCTATCTATCTATTTATCTATTTATTTATTTATTTACTTTTCATTTGGCTTTACACACTTTTAGATGTTCAGACACCTTTGTCTACTACAGGCCTCACTATTCCCTGATGTCTTATCCATGGGCTAATTCACACATTTCTACTATTGCCTGGCTCAATAGGCCAAGTGAGATTGAGATCCCTGTGATTTATAAGAATTTATAAATGTAGACTTATGGAAGAATAGTGAATCCAAGAGAATGTGGTTCCTGAAAGAACTCCGTTGAATGCCCTGCGGATTTTAGATAAATGATTCCTCAGAACTGAACCTGTGGCTCTTCTGCACCAAATGGAGTGAGGTGTAACCTCAGCAGTCAGTGGGATTTAAGTTCAAGTGACGGGTGCAGATGGGAGGGCGCTTAGAACAGACAGCTGTCGAGGGCAGGTGCCGCACCAGCGAGCCGCACAGCAATTCTTACAGGTGTGCATCATTATCCCCATCTCATAGCCGGGGGAGAAAATGAAACATAGGGAAGGTCCTTGGCTTCCAAGCTAATAAGCAGGGCAGACCTGGCCTGAAATTTACAGCCGAACAACTGAATTCAAAGCACGTGCGCAGCACACACAGCGCTGCCGCCAGACGAAGTCTCCTCTCGGTGGAGTAGCCACTAGTTTTATAGGAAGCACCTAATCTAACCCCTAACAGCGCTGCAAGTGGGCATAACACTTGCTGTAGCTGTTTCTTTGAAACAGGACATTTGGATCTAGGGGCTTGCCCGAGATCACCTGGGGAGTCATTGAAGGTACTAAGTTATGAACAAATTCTCCTCACCCTCACATCACCTTCTTCCTCCATACTGACTGAGCATCAAGCTCGTACCTATCGGCCCCAAGAGGAGTCATTTCAGGCAAATACAGTTTATTCCCACTGGAGAGAACCACAGGTCTCCTCCAACCAGGCACAGAAGGTGATGGTGCCCAGGGCCAATTCGGGAGAGGAGAGAACTGCTTCACCTCTACTGGTCTAGAAACAACCCCTTCACCAAGGTCCATGCTGGGCTGCACTTGAAATATAAACCTGCTCAATTAGGAGGCAAACACCACAGTTTAAAGATTCCCTGATCTTTCTAGAAAGGGGAGAAATGTTAGAAAAGCAGACTTGCAAAGAAAAGTAACATTCTAGAAACAGTGGTAAAGGGTGGAAAGCCTTTTTAACATGTTCCCATGGGATACCCTTCTCCTCAAAGTAGGTTTGGAAGGCTTGCAAGAGTCAACTGATCATCACCTTTGAAAATAAATGAAACTTTGACTTGTTCTTGTCCAGGTCTGGATCCTGGTGAGGGATATGTTGCAAAGACCAAGAAAACCCTCCAGCTTCAAAATAACCACCCAAAGGAGTCTTCGCTGGATTATCTACCAAAAACCATTTCAATTCTGACTCTATGTGTGTTGCAACAGAGAATGTTCCAGAAATACTAAGATGTCATTAGCATGAGCTGTGTCAAGCTTTGATGGAAGCTGTCTCTGCCCTGGAACAACCCTGGCAAGGGGAAGATGGGGGACAAGGACCACTGGCCTTCCCTTGGGCACAGAACTGGACACAGAGGGTGCAGTGATACATAAGATAAACTTTGCCCCCCAAGATCTCACAGTCTAGTAGGGAAGGCTTACACACACAAACAGGCACACAGTGGGTACCAGGCACAATGATGGAAGTGTGCGGCTGGGCCTGAAGAAGAGGGAGAAGCAACCAGTAGTCTCAGTGGTGGAAAAAAACATATAGAAAGCAGATGTCAGAGATGAGTTTTAAGAATGAACTGTAATGCTCAAGTTCCATCTGTTGGATCTCAAGCATATTCCTGCAACTCTCTGTTCGCCAAAAATAAGGGGGAGGGGGATTAGTTATCGCTTATGTGGCAGAGAATTCACACTTTCATTTGTAGAGCTGAGATTCCATGGTCCTAAGACTGAAAAGCAAATTATCGCCTTAAAATGCATCCCTACAGAGTATAGTCCTTTTCTTTTCGCACATGAAAAAGAGAGATCTCTACCCAAGTGTTCTCTGCTGTCTGGATTCGTTTCATACCTGTGGAGGCAGAGGATGAACTGATGGCCTCCAGCAGTAGCAACCTTCCTCTTATCCTTCTCTCTATTATCCACCAATAATAGCAACCTCTTCTATTGTCTCAGAATCTCCAAGTTCGAACTGTCATTGCTGTCTCCTGTGACCATCAGATAACCAGGAGTGACTGCCTCTGCTTTCCTCTCCAGAGAAACCACAAGTTAATTTTGTTCCAAAGTAGTAAAGAAGAAAAGTTGAGGGGAAAAAAAATAATCATCACCTACTCCCTGGCAATTTTAGCATCCTCACTCCTCCTGTTCCCCTCCCTCCCATCGAAGTCAAACAAAGCCAACCATTCCATCCTGATCTGTCCCTTCCCCTGCACTATATAAAGCTAGCTACAGATGGCATGCACGGGTTGGTGCTCCAAAACTCCCCAGTGCCCACTCCCTTCCATCAAGCTGGTTCCTAAATCTGTGGATGCAGCAGACTTCAGAAGAGGAAGCGGCATGATCACGCAGCATGAGCTTTGGCACAATGGAGCCTGGGTTGTGCCAGGGCCATGATGCCCAAGTCTCACCCGCTCTGATGCAGCACTCAGATTGGCATCTGGTTGCCCCACTGCCCACATGATGGGATTCTGTGTAGGAAAGCCAAGTTTCTCTCTTTATTGTACCCTGGGTAGTAGAGAAAGAAATGCATGATAAAGTAAGAAGAAAGGGGAAAAAACATCAAGGGAAAAGGAGTTAAGGGGCTTGGGGGAAGTACATCCTAGAATACTTCCTTCTCTGCTCATTAATTTTCCTGC